TGGGGACACTCTCTTGAGTGATGGGGACACTGCTCCAGGTGATGGGGACACTGCCCCGGGTGATGGTTACTTACTGGTTTTMGTTCACTTTTTAATTGTTTTAATTAATCCTAAGCAGTGGAATTTTCGATTTTGGCCAACACATAGTAATTTTTTTTCCCAGACTGTTGTTGTTAGACAGTGCTTAGAAAACCACTGAAACTTTTACGTTTTGCTAAACTGATCCTGTTAAGTTTCAATGAGCAAAGCATGACYAAAGCTTTTAACATCAAGTTTTAGGAAATACACTGATTTATGTAGTTTGGAAGTCACAGATGTAAGTTAAAGAAATTATGAGTTCTCTAATTTCCATTTAAGGGCTTCATTAAATAAAACATAAAACAGGCCATGTAATTGATAGCAAGAAAAGATCAAGATTAGGAATATCTGAGTCAACACCTAGTAATTAATAATAGTAATAGAAAAAAAAAGGAAAGGCAGGGAGGGAAAGATTCTCAATATCATTTCTGTTAGGGATGTTCTACATATCAGGGTCTGTTGCCTTAAAAATGTTTCAATTTAAAAGTCAAATAGCTGAGCTTGATCCTGAAAGATTAACTCAGTTAAAATTTTCATGTCATCACCAACCAAAAATATTGCATAATGATGAAAGCTTAAAGCAGACACCATAAATGTCTGGGCATGTATCCAGGCCCTAGATCAGGTTAGATAACACTCAGTGCAATCTGTTCTCAGCTGTGCTCGTGCCAGGGAGGTCTCTGACCTGTTGATGTCCATACCCAGAAGGCTTCGGATGCTGGGGGGATGCAGAACAGCTCTGCCCTTGTCAGCAGGGGTGGCCCGGCTGCCTGGGGCTGGACCAGGCCCTTTCACATAAGCATTTCAGGGTTTGTGARTGTTGCCTGGCCAGGAGCTGTGGGRGTGCTCCGTTGCTGCGGGAGCAGGGCAGACTCGGGCTGGTCCCTGCTCCCAGGGGAGCTGTGTCCTGGGCAGCACTGCGGGATCCCCTGGCCTGGGTGCTGCCATCCCCCACAGACACAGTGTCTCCTGCAATGAGAGCCTTGCCAGGCTGAGGCTTAGGCTCTGAACAGTATCCTTTTCTGAGTTAAATGCAGAAAATATGTGGACTGSTAGCAGATGGAGTTCTAGAAGAAGCTACAGGATGCTTCTCTTCAAAATAATGAAATATGTACATCAYAGATGTATATCTTATGTGGTTCTAACATTGCCTTAGAGGTTTTAAATCCCCCAGAAAAACTTGCAGCAGAATTCTTGAAACTCCAGCATTATGTACTTAGTGATTACAATAGGAAAACAATTTTACTCTAAATATTTTTTGTCACCACACTAATATTTATTTATCATCTCAGTAGGACTGGTTTCTTTTAAAATATTTAAATGATAGTATGCTGCAGTTATCGTAATTACTGAAAATGAAAAGCAAAGGAAAAGGATTTTGTTTTGTTTGGCAAGTTCATTTATTCACTTTTTCAAAGCCAAAGTCTTTTAAGAGACTGTGCTACTAATGCAGTGTCTCAGTGATGAGAAGTCTAAGTAAGTTTTCTGTTTTATTGTGCCTGACATAAAAATATTGATTGAAAAGCAACAATCTTACCTTAAATTGATTTCTTATAAAACAGTCCACTGAGAAATGGAGCACTTGAACAGGAATAAATTTTAATTAAATTTCCACATAGCTCTCTAACCAATCTGTGTGTCRTTAGGTGGAAAGAAGGAAAAGTGAGGAGTGCGATACCTGAAGTAATGATGAAACAGTGTTTAGGCAACACGGATTCCTCAGGACAGAGTTATTTCATGAACCATGCTCTGCACCAGGTTCCCAATGCTACCGCTGGGATGCATAAGGAATATAAGCATTTTTGTCAACACAAGTAGAAAGTTAGGTAACAGTCACTTGTCTTATACTCTCCTGTACCAMACGTCTGGTGTTTGTACCCAGAAAAATACTTTGACCATTCTTGTTCTGTTGAAGCTCATGCAACACTGCCCTGGATTTTGCTTTAGAGTACAAGATTTTTTTGAAGTTACAAAGTCATTACAAGACCTCAAACATTAGTATTAAACTTGCACCACAGAGAGGGGTGGTCTGTTACCAGTCAAAATACTCTCCTGGAAGTCYTGCTGCATTATCAAGTTTACTGCTTGTGTTAGCTTCAGTCCCAGTTCTGGTGACTGAAGTTGATTACAAAATTTATAATCCAGGAGAGGAATAACATTGCATTTGCATCTGCAAATGCTGCTGAGGAAAGCAGATAATCTATAACCAGTAACAGGTTTATTGCATGGGGATCTTGGTGTGTAGGTCTTCCAGATTTYCTGTGTTTCCAAGGATGAGGTACTGCCCTGTGATGAATTCTACAAGTCCTGAAGAACTTTGGTCAATATCAATCTTTCTATTCTGCAAAACTTCTTGCATATCTCTTTGTAAAATTGAAGCTGATGACAATTCCAGTCTGTTCACCTGAGCTTAGAGCAGAAGTTGTGACAAGTTGTCTGGCCTGAAGTGTGGTGTTACCCTTGCTGTGCAGAGTCAGGAATTGGATAATTGACAGAAAAATGCCAGGGGATCAGAGGAATRGCTATGATATCTTCCAGCTGAGTCAAATTGTTTATTCCTGCTTAGGTAAAATGTACATTAATTACAGAGTCAAGGGTTGGGTTTTTTTTTYCTTTAACCCAAGCTTGATCCAAGCTTACCTTATTAGTCTACCAGAAATCTAAATTAAATCCAGTCCTGTCTAACATAATAATTTCTTTCTACAGAATGAAGTTGGTGGCATTCCATGGTGATGCAT